CTGGGATTACAGGCATGAGCCACTGCGCCTGGCCATGGAGCAGGTTCTTGGATGAAACTCTGGTAAACAGAAAGTTTCAGAATAAGAAATGAATCCATAGACATGATACAGAAATTGGCAGTATTTTGAAAAGGAGGGAGAAACATTAACTTACATGGGCCATGGTTTTAGAACTGCAAAAACTGGTCAGTCCTTTTCAAGATTCCTCTGTTGGAGAACTTCAAAGTACTGATAAGCCAGAGCTAAAAGGAGAAAAAGAAGCAATGAAATAATGCCACAGAGCTCCCAAAATGATGTACATCATAAATATGAAAACTTTTTTCTCTTCCATTCCTTCTCCCAAACTACTTCCATTCCCACCACTGTGCCCACCCTTATCCTATAACCATATAAACTGGGGGAAAGTATAGGGAATCTAAATAAATACAATCTCTGGGCCAGGCACGATGGCTCACGCCTGTAATCCTAGCACTTTGGGAGGCCGAGGTGGGCAGATCACCTGAGGTCGGGAGTTCAAGACCAGCCTGACCAACATGGAGAAATGACATTGCTACTAAAAGTACAAAATTAGCTGGGCGTGGTGGCAAATGCCTGTAATCCCAGCTACTCCGGAGGCTGAGATGGGAGAATCATTTGAACCCAGGAGACGGAGGTTGCAGTGAGCCGAGATTGCGCCACTGCACTCCAGCCTAGGCAACAAGAGTGAAACTCCATGTCAAAAAAAAAAAAAAAATTAGCCAGGCATGGTCGTGTGCACCTGTAGTCTTAACTAATCAGGAGACTGAGGCAGGAGGATTGAGCCTGGGAAGTGGAGGTTGCAGTGAGCTGAGATCATACCACTGCACTCAAACCTGGGCAACAGTGTGAGACCCCCCCATCTCAAAAAACAAAAGAAAGAAAGGAAAAAGAAAATCAGTGTTAAAGAAAACAAAAGGTACCTTGTTACAATCACTGCATTATGAGACCTAAAAGACTGATGATACCCTATATTACCAAGGTTGACGCAGACACTAGGTCAGTCCACATTTAGAGCTATGTGAAGCAACATTTCAGCCCTGTAAACTCTGACTCAGAAGCTCCACTTCTCAGACTAAAAGGGTTTGTTTGTATCTGTACATAAAGATTACACAGAGCAATGGTGGGGCAGGGTGGTGCATGCCTGTAATCCCAGAACTTTGGGAGGCTGAGGCAGGCGGATCACCTGAGGTCAGCAGTTCGAGAGCAGCCTGGCCAACATGGTGAAACCCTGTCTCTACAAAAATACAAAAATTAGCTGGGCATAATGCCTGTAGTACCAGCTACTCAGTGGCTGGGGTGGAAGCATAGTTTGAACCTGGGAAGCGGAGGTTGCAGTGAGCTGAGATCATGCTGTTGCACTTCAGCC